CCAACTGAATACAATTTCACTGAGGAGTGCTAAATTTTAGGGACTGAAGAATTCAAGTGGGAAACTGATACCAACATTGTTAGTAGGTCATTATTTTTCTTCTTTTGGATAACTTTAGGGTAAGTTGGCATTAGGATTACTGAGCCAAAGAGCATGGCTATATATTTATTACAGCTTTTGCTGAAGACTACTACTAAATGCCAACCCAGTTAAGAGTGAAGGCTCCCGCCCTCATCTATCCTTCAGACAGCCCTCTCCTCATTTGGAGCTGGGTCTAGTCCACTAGCTTCAGCATCTACCCATATTTCAATATCCCCACAGCTATCCCCAATTGAGGCAGTCCACTCGATATCCCAGCTTGTCACTGGGGTCCTAAAGTGCTACCAACAATAAAAGCTGTGCCAAAAGGAAAAGCTTTGCCCCCAGCCTAGGGGACACTATGGGGAGTGGCCAGGAGCAACTATTTGTTGAGACAGAAGCCATTGGTTCTCCTCTCTCCTGTTTCCAGTCTGTTCTGCCCTGTCCTAGGAATCTCATGTCTCAAGGCCAAATTCACTAAGTCAAAAGGGGTAATTTATCTAATAAGGGTCTGCCTTCTCTCCTACACAGGGGTCAGTCTCAACAAATAAGATTCCCTGCTGGGTGTGGCAGCTAACACCTATAATCCCAGCACTTTGGGAAGTTGAGGTAGAAGGACCACTTAAGCCTAGCAGTTTCAGGGCAGCCTGGGCTACACAGGGAAACCCTGTCTATTAAAATACAAAACAGGGCCGGTGCGGTGGCTCACACCTGTAATTCCAGCACTTTGGGAGGCCCAGGAGGGCAGATCACCTGAGGTCAGGAGTTCCAGACCAGCCTGGCCAACATGAAGAAACCCTGTCTCTACTAAAAATACAAAAATTAGTCAGGCATGGTGGCACACACCTGTATCCCAGCTACTCAGGAGGCTGACGTGGAAGAATCGCTTGAACCTGGGAGGTGGAGGTTGCAGAGAGCCGAGATTGTGCCACTGCACTCCAGCCTGGCGACAGAGCAAGACTCTGTCTCAAAAAAAAAAAAATACAAAAATTAGCTGGGCTTGGTGGGACATGCCTGTAGTCCCAGCTACTAAGGAGGCTGCGGTGGGAGAATTGCTTGAGCTCAGGAGGTTTACGCTGCAGCGAGGCATGTTTGCACCATCGTACTCCAGCCAGAATGACAGAGTGAGATAAACACAAAAAAAGATAAGAATCAATCTATTTTGTCTAATTCTGTTGCATTTGGGTTATTTATTTATATATTTGTTTTTGAGACACTTGCTCTGTCACCCAAGCCAGAGTGCAGCGGCACGACCTTGGCTCACTGCAACCCCCGCCTCCCAGGCTCCAGCGATTCTCCTGCCTCAGCCTCCAAGTAGCTGGGATTACAAGCATCTACTACCACACCCAGCTAATTTTTGTATTTTTAGTAGAGACAGGGTTTCACCCTGTTGGCCAGGCTGGTCTCAAACTCCTGATCACAAATGATCCACCCAACTTGGCCTCCCAAAGTGCTGGAATTACAGAGCCACCATAACTGGCCAGGTCTTTCCTTAAAAAGTAGAAATGACATTTTAAATTCTGATTATAAAAGCAAAAATATCAGACAATACAGGATACTTTGACAAAAAACTAGGAATGGCTTCCAGGAATTCTCTCTTTTTTTTTTTTTTTTTGAGATGGAGTTTTGCTCTTGTTACCCAGGCTAGAGTGCAATGGTGCAATCTTGGCTCACCGCAACCTCCGCCTCCTGGGTTCAGGCAATTCTCCTGCCTCAGCCTCCTGAGT